AAATAATATTCAGAATAGTGAGCTATTGTAATTATACCCAGCCATGGACATTCTCAAAAAGAGTTGAGCTTCTTGACTCAGAAATGTATTTGCAAAATACTCCCCCACTTGTTTCCAGGGTCATTTTTCCTCCCTTCCTTTCTATAGCATCACTTTTTTAATGCTTTACACTGAATGTTATCAAAAGTGGCCTACAGCTGTGTTTGCAGCCATTTCATGAGTTGCCCATGGCGATCTTTGCTGGTCATGATGGGCAACTGCTGAGTCATCGTGAGGCTGCTGAGAAAAGGCGTCCCATTCCAGGTCCCTATTGCATCGGGAGCAGTTGCACATTCGTCAGGAAAATATAGTTGCAAAATCCAGCTTGATTAGATAGTATTGTAAAGACGTGTTCAGTGATGAGGAAAGACCATTGGCCAGTTGAAAAAGTCTCTTGCATGCTTAAATCACTCATTCACCTGTTAAACACAAAACACAAAAGGAAGAGAGAAAGTTACATACCTAGAATTGCTGTGAGACAGATTTTGTATTCAGTAGATTAATCATATTCATTTGGTAGATGTAGATGAGTTATTATATGGAGGTTTCAGCCGATTAAAGGGGCAGAAGAGGAGCCGCTTATCATGTCTCTGAGGAACTATCATGTTTTGAGATAAAGTCAGGATCCGGTCTAGTTGTGAGCAAGTGGTGCTGAGGAAGTGCTGGGTGAAGCCTCTACCACTTCGATGTCCCCCACAGGCCACCCTCTGCATGGAGCCTCCCCAAAAAATGTTGGTTTTGTTTATTTAAATGAGAGGAACTTACTTGTTATTCCCAAACTTCAGGGGCTAACTGCCTCATGGTGCTACAAGTTAAATGCAGCTCGTTGCCACATCAACCGAATTGGGAGCATTTGGTGCTCCTTAGCCTTAAGGGATACCATGTTTTGGTTTTTGGAAGGTTTGTAATTGAACTCCATGGGACTTTAATGTGAGGGGATGAACTAAATTTAGGGCACCTTATTGACAACGACAATAGAAGTAGTACAAAGCTTTTGTCAAACAGACTGTTGGGAGAGAGTTAAGAGCTGGACCAACAAAGTATTTCTCAGAGTTTAAAGTTTCATTGCTGAATCTGCTTTGTTTGATTCAGTCCAGGCATGACCTAAATGCAAAACTCTGCACTCTACAAGACAACAGTACCTGTTTTTCGACACACATTACATTCTAAGAGGTAAAAAAATTCTCTGCATGCATATGGTAGATTGTTCTACTAGTGTGGTTCAATTGCACTATACCTACATCTTGGATATGTGATTGTGCCATCTCGACACTGAGCTCGGAATGGAGGAGAGCCTTGAGCCAGACTAAAGTCATGTATGCAGGTGAATTCTATGGTATCTCCAGATTCTGAATATAGTTTTGTATCAGATTTCCACCTCAGCTTAATGTTGTTACGACCCATGTCTTCTTCTGATGCTGTACAAGGAACTGCAAAATGGCACATTTCATATGTTAGAGAGCAACCATGAGGAGTTCATTTCACAAAATGTTACTTTTTAAATTAGATATATAAAGCTTATTATGAAATCAACACGAACTGTTAAAGACCTGCGCAGGTTCAATTTCTTCTCTTTTCTGCCCTCCATGTTCCTTTTTTGCCCTCTGCCAATTGATCTCCAAACGTTCCATCTTTCAGCCATGGTCTCCACTTCTAGATCAAAGTCTGCCCAGCTCGGGTTCCTTTAAACCAGCGCTGGACAATTGCTCAGGCTTGGGACAAATTCCTCAAGGCACTCCTATCCTGCGAATCCAATGGGGCCGCACCTTTCTTCTGCCTCTGAAGTTGTTGCTGGAACTCCACATGTGCTGCCAAGGTTGGCTGCATGCGAGCGACCCCTGCTCCCAGTTTCCTTTACAGGAAGTGGCCGGGGGGGTG